AGATTTCACCTTGCAAAATTTATATAGCAATATATATATAATAATTTGAGATAATTAATATCATTTTAAACTACTTTAGTGTGTACTTCAACCACGGTTATGGGTTATAATACGTATCTCCAAATATACATTAATGTAATGAGTACACNAACCACGGTTATGGGTTATAATACGTATCTCCAAATATACATTAATGTAATGAGTACACATGTGATTTTCATGGAAGCAAAAATATTTCATGTGCATTAAATAGCTGTGTCGTCTTTATTTTTAAATGTGCAGTGAATATTATACCAAAGTTTTTTTTTAATTAAATAATTTAAATATTTATTTAAAATGAAGAATCCAGTATTAAAAATGTTTTTTAAACACGATAACGCTAGTAATAGAAGCGAGTGCAATTTATGTAAAAAATTTATTACGGGTAAGCATTCATCTAACTTAGAGAAACATGTATTTGCGCATCACAAATTGCAATATGCAGATCTAATTAAAGCCAAAAATAAACTAAAACAAACAATAGAAAACTTAGATGCAGAAACATCACTAACAAATAAAGTAAGATATGATGGTTAAAATGTAATTGTAATATTGAATACACAATATTGTGTATCCAATATTACAATTACATTTTTTGTTTATTTGAAATTTTTATTATGTAGTTTATATGTCTTTCTTTTAAGATAAATAACAGTCAGAGCACATTGAATAATTTCGTAAGCATTTCTAAAAAATCCATCAAACTTAACTTGGATAAAAATTCACTAATTGCTGCTTGTATTGAAATGGTAACAATAAATGGAAGACCTTTGACTTTATTACAAGATTCAGGTTTTAGGAAAATTTTGGATCCTGTCTTAGATGCATTTTTACCGGAAAGTATGAATATTTCATAATACTTATATTTATTTGATAAAAAAATATTTCAACTTCGAAATTATATATCTGTTATCCATTTATTGAATTTATAAATAGATTATTGAGTGAAAATATGTGAAATACTAATTTATTATTTTATAAGTATCATTGAATATTAATAATAATCAGTATTATACTGAAATAAAACTGATAATAAAAACCAAAAAATTGAAATACATATACTTTATTTTATTTGTTTACTAGAGATTGCCATTAATTCTCAAAATATTAAAGGACATATTACACACTTAAGTAATAATATAGTGTCTGATATTACTAAAGATTTGAAAAACCGTATGGTATCTTTAAAAATTGATGGTGTTTCACGGCATAGCCGATCTTTTCTGGGCATCAATGTTCAATACATATCTTGTGATTCAATGCAGTTGCAAATAAAAACATTAAGTATTTCTGAAGTATTAGGTGGTCATACAGCAGAAAATCTTAAG